GATAAAGTCTATATAAATTAACAGATTTTAATATGGTCATCATAATAGAAGACAACATGTTCTTTCAAATTGAAAAAAAAACAAAAATAAAAAGCATTCGTAGTCTTGTAATAGCTGGCAGAGAAATGAAATATTGGATAGTAAGTTTCTCTAAAAAAACACAATTCAGATGATAAAGAAACAAATATTCGAACCTTAATACAATCAACAATACCATTGAGCGATTTTTCTTGTTTGCATGGCGTCCAAATAGCAATGATTTGACCCACAAGATCTTGTGTTACTCTTGAATGATACAGCAATCATTTATAAACTCAATACATAAATATTATAATGATAGCACACACCTTCTTATTTCTTTCGATTTCGAAGAGCTAAACGATAAGACAATCGTTATGAGTTTAGGATGTTCAACATGCTAAAATATATGGTGTTAAAAAACCAGTTTGAGAAAAATCTCTATAAACTTGAAAGTCAGGGCTGCTTACTTTAACAATGAAATAACAAGCAGTGGTCCCTGAAGATGACATAATTTTCATGCTGTTCTGAATAACAGAGATTGCCGCGGGCAAAAGTGCTTCGCATAATCGCACAATGGACGTTTCTAATTTTCCACACAGAAAGCTGAAACAAATGTGTGGAAATGGCCAATACTTCCAATAACAACTAACGGTTTCAGCGAAATTTCCAAGTAACCATTTCAAATGATTAGATTTAACTCTTCAAGCAGCTAGCTAACTTTTTCAACAAATAATGAAAACGACCAATCATTCAAATAAAATGAAATCTATCTAGTTAAAAACATACCTCACAGTTATACATGCTTCGCGGCACACCTGTGACCTAAGATGTTTTACAGATGTTGCCGACGCATCGCATCTTCTAATGTAAGGATGGCAGTTATCAATTCGTTTTCATAGTCCATACCACCATTTAACAAAATGGAGCGCAATAATTTCAACTGTAAAGCTGAACCCGATATAAAACTGTGTTTAAAGTTTAAAATAACTATAATTACACATCATCTATAATAAAATGCAAATCAGAGTCGGAACGTACCGAATTCACACGCTGTGACCAATCAATTTGGGTGTTTCCCAAAATACTGCGAACTGATTCCAACTGTGATGTGTGTTCTTTCAAGGAATAAATCCAAACCATTTAAAGTAGGATATAGTTGAACTCAGAAATAAAGATGATAACTTACATCACACTTGGGTACTTGGGTGGAAGCTTTACGGAAGTCGTCTTCATTAACTGCACCTGTGGAGCTTACCATAAAACATAATCTTATATATATATATATACTTCCGTGTCTAAATGCCGACATATATACATATATTTATATTAAAAACGAAAAAAAACCAAAAAGTGATAAGTATCTTTCGTAGCATCTCATGTAAGATTTTGAAAACAATCGACATATCAATATCTTCTAGGTGTTAAATTGGCTGATAAACATGGACACAACAACGTTCATAACAAAGTCACCACATAAGTAGAACATTTGATAGACAGAACGGGCAACTGTTCGAAAACCATAGCGATGAATCCCTACTGGTTTATAAATTATGACCTCGTAATAGTAGAGAATTCAAAAGGTATAAGAAGAACAAACCAGAATTTTTGGCGGTGTTCGATACGCGCTTTTGCGCTGGCATGTTTGATCTGCGACTCAATATCGAAGTGAGTCGCCCTTGATTTTCCTGATCTGTTTCGCCTAGAAATCATTACTCATTAAAAAAGGTATACATATGTGAGACAATAATTTCTATCATTATTTACAAATAGAAACTGGTTTTGTACTAAACAAGTTGTTTTACTGTAAGAAATTCTGCGTTGATTGAAACGCTTTCAAAAAATCATCGAAGGTTGTGAGAATTGTCACTATTCTAAATCATTCATACAAACATAAAGAGATGAAAA